CCACCGAGTGGTCCATCCATCAAATTGGTCTTTCCAATTTAGAGACCACGATGTTGTGTGGGACAGTGTCGAAGCCTTGCAGAAATCCAGGTAGATGACATCAACAAAGATGTACTTCTGCATCTTCATAAAAGTGCTTACAAATCCATTCTCCCTTTTTCTATTTTTTTTTAAATTATATTACTTTATCTGAACTATCCTTCTTCTTACCTGACTTTTTTTCATTTAGATGCAATTTATTTCATATTCTCCTCTCTAGAAATGTGGTAAGAATTCACTAGGACATAGATCACAATTGTGAGACAGGACTATATGAAAGAAGTTTTACTTCCACAGAGATAAGTTGTGGAACTGAGTCATATTCCATTATCAGAAGAGGAGTCTTGGTGTTCATCCAAGAGCTGGAATTCAGGTGTGATATTGCTGATCCACCATGGTGTGTAACCAAGCTCTGAAGGTAGATATGGTACCAGAAGGGAAAATGGATAAGGGTGAGCTAACTGACATAGTCTGCAGGGATGTTAAAACACTTCTGGTCACAATCCCTAGTTGAACAAATGTTCATATATATAGAAAATGCTTTATGGTTTTTAACAATTAGGTTCCTGTACAGATAGTAGTACTCATATAGTGTGTGGATAGTGGTGTATCAGAATCCATCTCTCTCCATAAAAGCCTGAAGAATAAGTTGGCCACATATTCTGTAGACATAAATCTGCACAAAAACATTAAAACTCTTTTAAAAGCAGTGACCACTGGCATCATCACAGCATTGCTTTAGGACCTGATCCTGAGAATGCACACATTGCATTCCTACCTGGCTTTAGTTAGGATTCTTGGCACAGAGAGGAGCAGATAGTTGTGCAAATATGCACCTCACTTACGGGATCAGAGTGCTGCTTTGGGCTTGTGTAAGCAGGTTCCATTGTGTTAGTAATAGGTGTTTCTATATTAGCTTCAGGTCACACCACTTGAAGCTTAAAGAAACAAGCCCAATACTCCCAAGCTTTTGTGGCTGTACTTGACCTGGCAGCTGACTCTGTACTCCCAGTTCTCTCTGCCCTTACTCACTTGCTAAAACATGTGCTATGAGCCATTACTGAAAGCAGTGTGCAGGGCTGGACCACTTCTGTGGGACCATTCTGATGAGGCCATGGTTCAAAGATTGTAAGTTCATTCATGCAATGTTTGGCTGTGCCCTCTGGTGGCTAATTTAACTTCTATAATTGTGGATATTAATTGGAGTGTATAGTCCACAGTAGTGCATAAAACCCCCTGGTTCAAGGGAATAAAGTTTAAATTGTATTCTTACTAACAAATATACCTCTTAAATAATGCATATTATTGTATATTTACCTTTCATATCAGCTATCATCATAGCATTTTATCTCACTAAATCTGTTACAGTTCTTACTGTCTTTCTCATTAACGTCTGTCTCTCTTAGTTCCCCTCCTCCTCCCCAGATAAATTCAGGTTTGGTTTGCTGTCCTTTTTTTTCACCTTCATTCCTCCCTTTCAATTTACACTCCTTCCATCTAGGCCTATTTCATCCAACTGTGTACTCTCTTCCTCTTTCTGTAATTCCCCTTCTCCTTGACTTGCTCCTCACAGAACTCAGTCACTAAATACTGCGAGCCCAGCCTAGCTCTGAGAACCTGTTGAGCCTTCTGAACTTTGCAGTAGTTCTATTGGAGTAATTTATACCAGTTCTCTTTCTGTTCTTGAAGTCAACTATACATAAGCAGAGTCCTTAACATCTGTTAACTTCTCCAAGAAGTAACATTCTCAAATCATTGCTTTCATTCACTCTTGTGGCCATTTCCTTAGTTCTCTGCTTCCTCCAGCTTTAACTTGTCTTCAGTTAAAAAAATCACCAGGTAATCAGCTCCTGCTACAACCTGTAAAGCTCAACTGTCTTATCATATACTTGAGCAATTATGGTTTAGTTTTTAAACTTTTCCAATTTCATGACAGGAGTTTGTCTCGAGAAGTTTAACAGTGGTCTTGTTTCTAGTTATTTCATGCACGTAGCAAGGATGCCGAAATGCAGTTGAATTATGTATGATCTTCTGTTCTTGCCTTTCTTCCCTTCATTATCAGTAGTGCTGTGTCTTTCCTGCAGCCAGCAGTTAAATTCAACCTTACAATTTTCTGTCATATTTATAGTTTCATTACATTGCCTATTAACTTTTAACCACCCATTTTTTTACACACTAATAGTTCTTCTTGTCACCATTTCAAGCACAAGAAGAGAAGCATCATCTGATCAGGAATGTTTCAAATGTTTTAGAGTACTTAGATTTTATGGAACTGACTTTCATTGTCTTGTTTGATCCTGCCTACCTTCCTTGTCGTCACACACAGGGATGTTTTGTGTCTGCCTTTGGGAAGGATCAAAGGTTTGATGGTTTGATAAGGAATACACATTTTGAAAGAAACTAAATTATAATAGAAGATGATAAAGCCAAAAGAATGCCTTTTCTAGAAAATAATAGACCCTTGTAATAATCTAGTTAAAAATCATAGAATCATAGAATGGTTTGGGCTTGATGCCTCACACTAGAGCAGGTTGCTCCAAGCCCCTGTGTCCAACCTGGCCTTGAACACTGCCAGGGATGGGGCAGCCACAACATCTCTGGGCACCCTGTGCCAGCGCCTCAGCACCCTCACAGGGAAGAATTTCTTATTTATATATCAGTTATCTTATATCAGTTTGAACCCATCGCCCCTTGTCCTATCACTACAGCCCCTAATGAAGAGCCCCTCTGCACCCTCCTTGTAGCCCCCTTCAGACACTGGAAGCTGCTCTGAAGTCTCCAGCAGCTTCTCTTCTCCAGGCTGAACAGCCCCAGTGTTCTCAGCCTGTCTTCATAACGGAGCTGCTCCAGCCCCTGCTCATCCTCGTGGCCTCCTCTGGACTTGCTCCAACAGCTCCATGTCCTTTTTATAAGAAGAAGGATATAATTAAACAGAAAAAACTTTTTGTCATATATAACACAATGGGGTCTATCTCTGATAAGGGTGGTGCCGTATTGAAGTCACCTTGGTTAATAAGAGGAAGGCTGGGTCATGGATTAGTAGAGTGCTCTGTGAAATCTTGTGTCATCACACAATAGGTATTCATTTTGGTGCTGTCACACTCGTGGTTAAAACTGTCAGCAGATAAAGACTTGGTCATCTTAAGAGGTTGGGCAGGTCGTCTGTCTCAGTTCTCTTGTCTAATTCTGCGTGCAGCCTGCTTGAGCAACTGAAGGCCATCAGTGAAACTGCACCCTAATCTCTCTAAGTGTTTTGTTTCATTTATAATGCATCATTTGAAATTCTATTTACAGTGTATTTGTTGTGTTCATTGCCTGTTTTCAGCTAAAGCCATAGCACCTTTAACATTACATATTGCTTCTGTACAGCTGATGGAAAATGTTTGGCATCTGTTGGGCTAGATGATAATCATGCCATTGTGTTTTGGGATTGGAAAAAAGGAGAGAAGCTAGCAACAACCAGGTAAGATTATTTATTACTGTGTTTATAGGAGAAAACATAACACCTCTCTGCAAACCAAATGGTGTTTCAGAGCAATATATCCAGATTAGATACTTCGGGATGTACAGCTTAGTGTCTGGAAATCCTGTGAACTATTCCTGTCAAGAGATCCCAAGCCTTTCTGTTAGATAGCAACACTGATACTGTAGCTCATTTAATGATTTTCAAGTTAATATTTTCTCTCAATTTTATGTCCTGATTCAGGGCAGAAGTCATCAGAGGTGTCATGTATTCCTTTATGCATTAGACAACATGCTGGGTTCCATCAGGGCACATAACCAGATCACTTTCCAAAAAGCAAAAAGAGTTCCCTCTAATATAAATAGATTTTTCAAGCTCTACTGATCTTGCCTTTCTTCTGAGTCAGCTGTTTCTGAGATATTTGCTCTTTGCAGTTACTAACCGAAAGCTTAGATAGTAACATGAGAGTGAAGAAGCTTTTGCAATTGCTTGAAGGGACCAGTGCTCGGGATTATATTTTACATGTTTGCTTTTTTCCTTCTAAAATATTCTTTATCATAGAATGCTTTGGGTTGGAAGGGACCTTCAAAGCTCATCTAGTCCAAATCCCCTGCAATGAGCAGGGATGTCTTCAACTAGATCAAGTAAGAATGTCCCCCATGATTTATACTAATTTGGCTGTACATGGTAGAAGAATCAAACTGCTTGAGAAGAATCAACCTGTAAGGTTTCTGCCTTACCCTTGGGCATATCAAATGTACCTCTGAGGTCAGGACACTAGAATTGTGTAGAATTCATGTAAGCATGGCTTGTGTACCAGAAAGGCACAAGTTAATTTCCTATGCTGTCTGCAGCTATGTAAGGCCTAGTACTGGTCAGTAGAAATTAGTAGTATAACTGCAAAGTAGTGCCTGTGAAAGACAATTTACTTTTATTATTATATGGTGACATATTCCAGAAGAAATAAAGTTTTCTTATGGCAGCACTATCTGTTAGCTGTATACCATTACTGAAGAAATAAACACTTTGATCCAATTGTGTGGGTACCATGATCTATATTAGCTCTATCATGTTGTCTCAGACATCCAGTTTATCAGGCAGCAAGATTTTAGATCCTGCTTAAAATCTGTGGTGTGGGGCTTGCTTAGCAACAGTGTTGTCTGTGTTGGAAAACGTGACATTTTCTTTTGCTTTGCAATCCTGGTTTTACTGTCTGCAGACAGATTGTGCTTCAGACAACACAAGTGAAAGAAATACCACACGTATTCCCACAGACACCTGCTAAGCTTTGGAAGCAAGGTGGTGATGGGCTGTATGGCTCCCTGTCTCATGTTGCTTACAGGGCAGATAGAAAATTAAGTACTCAGGTTGTTTTCAGTATATACTATAGGTACCCAATGGACCTACTATTGTCACTAACCTATTATTTTGAAAATACTCAAGAATTCTCAAAGAGAGCATAAAAAAAGAGTTTATCTTCTAAAATACTCCAATTTATTGTTTACATTTTAGACATGCCTAAAGGCAAGCCCCCCATTCTTTAAGCACAGTAGGACATATGAAGGGAGAGACAAAAAGCAAGACAGGAGAGTTTACATCTGAATTTAGTCATGAACCTCACATGGCCTTAGCAGCCAAGAATAGAAGGCCATCTCCTTACAATCATCTAGACCCACAAGAAGAATTCATCTAAAGGACTAAATCTGAAAAATGAAGTGTACGTTCACTGTATAAAAAGTCATTACGTTTATTCTGTAGTTATATTTGTTTCTTATGAACATACTCTTTGCTTAATCTTTTTAGTGTAATTTATTTCAGCATGACTTCTCAGCTTTCTTTTCTTGCAATGTTCGGAATATCCCATTATTTATTAGTTTTAATTGCATCCTGGATAAACTATACTGCTTGGTTTTCTATCTTGGCTCTACAATCCTCTGTCTGGTTTCATTAAAATCCTTATTGAGTAAGTGTAGCTGTTAGAATCGGGATGTATCTGAGTTTCCCTCCCCAGCTTCTTGTGCCTTACATGCTGATGCAGTGCTGGTGCAGTGTTTTGTATTAGTGGACTGCAATCCCTAATGAAGCTGAAGGGGGCGTTGTCAAGTGCGTTTACAACCTAATCAATGACCATCCTGTTCTGATACTTCATTCTGTAAGAGCAAACATCCCGTGCCAGCCCCTCAGAACACAACGACACAAAGGAAATCAGGGTGGAAATGTACAGTCCAGATCTCGTGTGTCTGCGCATCCATCCTGCCACAGAGGCAGACATAATCCTGTCATCTTACAGGGACACCTGCACTGGGATGCAATTAGTTTGACTTTGCACTCAGGGCAGTACGTTTTACCTGTGTGATAGACACTTCCAGAAGCAGCAGTGTAACTGGCCTCATCTGAAAGGCTGAGCGTCATTATAGCAAAGTAGAGGAACAAGAGAAGAAGGAATTGCAAGATGTACTTCAGATGCCAAAGGGGTAAAGGACTGGTTTTCATCTAACTGATTCACCAAAAGAAAACACTGAATCCAAGGAGGTTATCAGAACCATGCGATTTCCAGGTCTACTAAATCTGATAGATGAAAGTGTCATTGTCACAGTACAAAACCTGGAAATTCACACTGAAAAGCTGGGGAGTGTTGCTTTTGGTGAAATAATTAGAAACACAATTTAGAAATAATTACTACTTTGCATCTGGGAATACTTTTTGCAGTGGTGAAACTTAAACCTAAAAATCCCCATAAACACATACTCCAAGAAGAATAATTTAATTACCCAAGAACGGAATTAGAAGGTGTATATACTGCTAAATGAACTGCTACCTAAACTATAATTATATAATTTGGGTTTTTACTTCTTGTCTTGAAGCAGGGTATGTTAAACACTTCCTTGTTTTTCTTGACAGAGTATTTACAATATTTATAAGAGTTCTTATCCACTTAAATATTTATGTTGCCCTTTACACCTTCTCTTAATTGCACTGACCATTGTTGCCTGCTTCTTCATCATGACTTAGCTGAACTGAAATTTAGTGAGAGACAATTTTTATTCACCAGGTTTCTGGAGGATTCCAAGGCTAAACTCTTGCAGATGAGAAACACAGCGCTCAGCTTCCTGTTAGGTAGGGTAAGGATGGGAGGGATAATGAGGACACAGCCTCTGTGGCTCATCTGCCAATCCTCACTATTATAGACCCATAACTGCTCTATGTGCACCAGTGGTAGGACAGTCATGGTGATAAGATTCTCATTGCTAAAGACCATGTTAGTCCATACAGTTAAATGCCTACTTAGAACAAAACAATTTGAAATGTTACGTCGTCTCTTACCATGTACTTTTATTTTTCATTTTTATTGCAGGGGCCATAAAGATAAAATATTTGTAGTGAAGTGTAATCCACATCATGTAGACAAACTAGTCACAGTTGGGATGAAACACATCAAGTTTTGGCAGCAAACAGGTACTGTATTGAATATTTTATATGTAATTTGTTTGAGAATGTGTATGGCTTTTAATACAAGAACATCATGATCTCAGTTTAAGAATCTGTTTTATTTGTAAAGCAATTTTCTATTTACCAAAATAAGAACAGGGTAAAAACCTACTTCTGAACCAGCAAATGTCCCAGTAGTCCTTTCTGTTTAGAAGGCATTTTCAGCTACTGGTTTTTTAGCTCTAGTCATACTATTAAGGATTTCTCCTGTACAAACATCCTTGGCTCACAGAAAACACACAGTCCTGTAATTCACTTGGGCAGATTATGACCCTTGTGGTGAAAGCACCAGCTGGTAGCTACAAATCTTAGGTGCTTCTGGCCCACCACTGCTGGAAATGGTAGTGTTTGCTCTTCAGCTACTGCTGGGACACTTTGCAACCCTTCAGAATCAAGATAGAGCTGGTTTTCAGTCATCAGAGATGACTTCCAGAGATGGAAGCACATGTTTCAAGGTGCTAGGCTGAAAAGATAGGATTAAGGATGGACCTTAAAATGTATGCCTGGGCAAAAGAAAATAAGAAATAAAAAATAGGGTATTTTGCAGAAGTTGAGTTATAGTAATTTATATTTTATCCATTAGGCTAAAAATCGTAACACAGTATCACAAGAATCAAGATACTGAGGTAATATATTTTCCGTATGACACAGGAGTTTGGTTTCCTTTCCTAATTAGAAAAAATGAAAATGTTTTCTAATATTTAAAAACAGGATAAGATTCTGCAAACTAACAAGCAAAATATTCAGAATGGGAAGTAGCTGTGGGTCTAGGCTTGTGTCAGACTGCGAGAGAGCTGGTTTCTGATCGAGGGTGGGTTTCATTCCAGGCTGGACTTCTTGTTCTTCATGAGTTTTAATTGTATACACACTACATGAGTAGTTGATCAAAAGATCTTGGAGAGCATCTTCTGTGTGTGACATTCAGCAAAGCTTGGCAGGGCAAGGGCAGCTAAAAATAGAATCAAGACAACTCAAAATCAGGTAGTTTCATGAAGTTCCTATACTTACACTGTACTTGACAGCATTCAAGTGGTTCAGGTGCTCTCAGATTAAAAATTACATTTTTTCCTGCATATTTTATGTTTAGGTTATTTTTGTAGTGATTAAATACACTTGCATTGCTGCTTGTTAAATTCTATTGCATGAATTTGCATTATGCAGTTATCTTACTCAAAGTATAGTCTCTTTGCAATAAAAATGGTATATTTTGAATTAAGGTTTGCTCAGTGGGACTCAGTGTGGTTATTTGTGAAATACATGATGACTTGACAAAAGGACACCACTGCTGTTCTATTTTGTACTTATATGTGTGTTTTAGTCTAGAAGTACTCAATTCATGGGTGCATAAGGCTGCTCCTGCTTTCTGAACTGGAGTAACACTGTGGCAACTTGGTTTTCTGACGATCAGAAGAGGAGAAAATCCTACCATTTATGCTGCAAACCTGCTGTCAAATTGTCAGGTTGCCAGTGGACAAGTAAAACAAACCTCTCGTGTGTAGTTGTGGTCACCTTTAAAGAGAAAAGCTTGGCGGGAGCTTGGCAGGATGTTCTGTGCAAAAACTATCCCGCCAGCCATTGTGTTAATCCTTTTTACAGAATTCCTCACCAAATTTACCATTTGCTTGGAAAGAACAGTCTGAAAAATAGAGTCTGTCCTGCTTCAAAACTGTCGTTACTACAGTGATTTTCTTCTATTATGTTTGTCCCTTGTGCACTCTGTTTTCAGTATTTCTATGATTTACTCTATCATAGATAATCAGAGGGGATGATGGGGCCAAGACATTTGTCTTTGCATCACTATGGCTGCAAACTGAAATACAGACAGACTTCCTTTTGTTCATGCTGCAGGTGGAGGCTTTACATCAAAACGAGGAACGTTTGGAACTACTGGGAAACTGGAAACTATGATGAGTGTCTCATACGGGCGAATAGAAGATCTGGTTTTTTCTGGTGCTGCTACTGGTGACATTTATATCTGGAAGGATACTCTGCTGCTGAAGACAGTGAAAGCCCATGATGGACCTGTCTTTGCCATGCACGCACTGGATAAGGTATTTAGCATCTGATGTGACCCATTCATCTTTCCTGGTTCTGTTGAAACACTGGATTTTAGAAGTGTATATCTAACATTCCTCCCAACAGGGTTACTCAGGGTTTGTACATGTGTATGTGAGCAATACGTTGTCCTACATTGCTCTAACACTGAAGATGCTTTATACTAAGCAAAACCGTAACAGAAAACAAGTTGCACTGGATCAATCTGATTGTGATTAAAATAACAAAACCAGTATTAATGCGTTCTGTTATTTGATAGACATTTTGTGCTCATTACCTGACCAGTAACTTTCTGACTTCTGAATATGCAGCATTTATTTCTCGCTGTGTGTCATTGTCATATTTGTAAACTATGTAGAGTAACAGGAACCATTCGTTGCCTCTTCTGCCTGATCCCCAAAACATTTTTGCATTTTAGAATCACAGAATCCCAGCCTGGTTTGTGTTGGAAGGGACCTTAAAGCTCCTCCAGCTCCAACCCCTGCCACGGGCAGGGACACCTTCCACTAGAGCAGGTTGCTCCAAGCCCCTGTGTCCAACCTGGCCTTGAACAGTGCCAGGGATGGGGCAGCCACAGCTTCTCTGGGCACCCTGTGCCAGCGCCTCAGCACCCTCACAGGGAAGAGCTTCCTTATCTAACCTGAACTTCCCTTGTTTCAGTTTGAACCCATCACCCCTTGTCCTATCACTACAAGTCCTTGATGAAGGTCCCTCCCCAGCATCCTTATAGGCCCCCTTCACACACTGGGAGCTGCTCTGAGGTCTCCAGCAGCTTCTCTTCTCCAGGCTGAACAGCCCCAATGTTCTCAGCCTGTCTCCATACGGGAGCTGCTCCAGCCCCTGCTCATCCTCGTGGCCTCCTCTGGACTTGCTCCAGCAGCTCTGTGTCTTTCTTATGCTGGGAACACCAAAACTGTATTCAGTACTCCAAGTGGGGTTGTCAATTTCCCTCTGATATCAGTATCAATTACCAGTTTCCAAAATACAAACCATGAATTTTTAATAACATTGTCACTGTATCTTAAGCAATCCAGACTTCAAATATCTAAGGATTTTGATTTTCTGAGTTAATTATTCCACATATCAAAAGTATTTTCCTTCAGCTGCATCAATAAATCTTTAAAAGAAACTATGGCAAAATATATTATTGACATCGTATAAATGAGTTTGGGGCAAAGTTTTGCCACTGGCAGTTTGAAGATGGTGATAATGGAATATCCTTTTTGAGGTTACAGTTTCAACTTCAAAAGTATAGCAGGAGAAGAATATTAACTATAAACATTTTTACAGATCAAGGTCACTTAAAAGCCCTGCGGCTCTATCCTTTCTCGCCCTAGCTGATTGTTCCCAGCTTTTCCATCAATTTTTCTATTTGATCTTGGCACTCCATCTTCTGAACATCCTTTTCCCTTACTTTTTTGTTGGTTAGTTATTTATGCTGTGTTTTACACTCGGCACAGATAAAGAGAATCTACCAAGGGTATTGATCAAAGAATTGCTTCCTGTGCATTATTAGAACTCGGTTTGAAGCATCTGCTAAGTTCATTGAATTTGGAATACGTTGAAAAACTATTTTACTAACTACTGTCTCTTCTAAGGATGAAGCACATATTTTTCCATAGCTTATTTCCACATGCAAAAAAATATTATGATCCAGCATTACTACTTACAGTAGTGTGCCAACTGTGGGGTTATAAGTCTTTATAACCCTAGAAAAGCAATTCTTTAATCTTCTCCCCTTTTATATTTTCCTTCATAGGTATAGGCTTCAGCATTTTTAATTCAACAGAGAAATAAAATGCAGGGGAGAATTTATACTGCTTTTGGACATGTCTTTTTAAGTGTTAACATATGGGCACTGAACATTTGTCTGTGTTTCCATTCTGTGATCACACAGGGGTTTGTAACTGGTGGAAAAGATGGAATCGTGGCTCTTTGGGACGATATGTTTGAACGATGTCTGAAGACATATGCTATTAAAAGAGCAGCACTATCTGCTAGTTCTAAAGGTATTATCTGTCGGTGTGTTCTAATAAAGACTATATACAGGAGGGCCAGTAAAACAGCAGCAATAGGTGTCAAATCTTACCAGAAAACAAAGGGAAAACAGTGCTTGGAAAACCCCATGCTGGCATTTTCTGTTTGGATTGCTACAAGTTGTATTTCACACAGTCTTTGCCATTTCTAGTTTGCTCTGCTATTTCCTCCTCTATTCTGTGACATTTGGCTTTGTTTTCACTGAAGAAATGATTTTAGAAAGGAATGTCACAAACCTGCGAGCCTGGCTGCTCCGAAGCCTGTTCTGTTCAGCAGCTAGCTGCCTCAGCTGGCCACATTTCATGTGGTGAGACCAGGGTCTCTGTGAGCTGGAAAGCCCTGTTAAACTGTACTTCCACGGGCATCAGGTGAAAGCCTGTACAGTGACATTCACAGCTAATCACAGACTTAATATCCATGGTGCTGGAGCAGCTGAACCCCTGATACACTGCCACAGTTAAAGCAGTAAAATACTAGTCTTTATATTGCCACAGTATAGACTAGCACAAGCTCCCCTCCTTTGAACTATTAATTAAATCCATGGATTATGTAGTAGTTTGATCAGGCAAATGTATCTCATGGCTCATGATTTTAAACAGATTGTAATTATAGGTAATATAAGCAGTATAAACTATGGGTGATATGAGGCTCTTTTTGATTTCACAATAAAAACCTTAAATTAACATTTCTGTATTCTTCAGGTTTGCTGTTAGAAGACAATCCCTCAATTCGAGCCATCAGCCTAGGACATGGACATATACTGGTGGGAACTAAAAATGGAGAGATACTTGAAATCGATAAAAGCGGTCCTATGACTCTACTGGTTCAGGTATGGGATGGATCTCCCATATTGAAATATTGCCTGTAGATAGAGCAGACATCATAAGGTTTTCCCAGTCCTTTCCTTTCTGTTTTCATTAACCCTGGGGACCACCATTCCTATCCTTGCTCAGGCAGAAGCTGATGCTTTCTTATGTGAATGACTTTGAGATTCAGTGTGGATTCAGAATTCTGAAGGTAAAACAAGCAGTACATTAAGTTCAAAGGCTGATGAAGTTTTTAATGGATTTTTTAGACATTTCAACGAAATCTCTTTTTGCAAGACAGTACTTTGCGAAGTTTGGTTAAAAAAATTCATCTTTATGTCCTCTGCTGTATTTGCTGTTGCTTTGGTTTAGTGTCATGAATAACCCTGATGTCTATATGTAGAAAATTGTATATTTTGTTTACTGAGTTATAATTTGTCAATTTTTTACTTGTTATTCTCCATAACTGACTGAATTAACATTATTTTTCACAAACGTCTTATTTCTTTGGTGTTTTTCTTTCCAGTCAGTTCTGATCACACAAAGTAATCCTCCAAATTGTCATTGCCTGCATGACAGCCTTGCTAACCTGAATGTATAAGCTGTAAATTATTTAACTCATTCACTAATTTGGAACTGCAATCTCACATGAATCTCACATGATAGTAAAAATAGCTTAAAATTACCCAAATGCTGTGAGCTTTCTGATAAAGTGTTATAATTGTCATCCAGCTTGTTACATCCTTGCACACATCAGCTTGAGCCAAAATAGAAAATACATAAGGTGTCATCAAGATGTCATGAGAGTTCCTCCGCTTTTTCTGTTAATGGCATTTATCCATCTCAAAACCACCAGTTACCAAACTGAAATCCAGACTTAGCATAGAAATGATTTCACCTTGATCTGCAGGGCCAGCAGGAAAGCGGGAAGGGTGAAAACTGAGTTCTGAGGAAAGATTAAAAGAATTGAATATAGGTATGTTGGGCAAAGAAGTTCTTCAGGATCTCAAAAACGACATGAGCCCTGAAGACAGATTAGCCCATGTTAGGATTTCAGGAGAAAGTCCTGTTTGGAGCATCACTATTTCCTGTTCATTTCAAGAGTGGAAGAGAGAGCATTGGAAGCACAGGAATTACAGCTAGTAACAGTGGAGGAGACTATGGCAGAGTATATTTAACATGGTTATCAGAGGAAACAGACCAAACAGTCAGGTCTCTTTGAATGTGGAAAATCTTCGGGAGGAGATGCAGAAAGCCTTATTTCATGGAACTTATAAAATACTACATAAACCCAAATGCATTATTTCCTCTTAAATGATTTCCTTTAGGGACATATGGAAGGAGAAGTCTGGGGCTTGGCAGCTCATCCTCTCTTGCCCGTCTGTGCAACAGTGAGTGATGATAAAACACTCCGAATCTGGGAGCTCTCATCCCAGCACCGCATGCTGGCTGTGAGGAAACTCAAGAAAGGTAATTCTCATTTGGCCATACACTGTGATAGTCATGATACCACTCTGTTCCTGTGACAGTCCCATCCTTGCTTTCAGTGCTCATCAGAGGTATTAATTAGGTAGGAAGAGGACACAGTCATTAAGAAATTGGGAGCATAGGAAGAAAATTGTCTTCGGCATGTGTCAAGTCAATGAAAAGGGTAGAAAGAAAAAGGACGATAATCTGTTGTAATGAATGATAATAAAAATTAACTTTAATCTATTTTCCTTGTATTCCAAGTGGAATGAGTTGACCTCAAAACCATTTTCCTTCCTAAGAGTATTTATTTAAAGCCAGCATTTATTTTTGCTGACATTACAAACTTTCCTTATGAAGACAAAGGTAAATGCTCTGCATGGTGAGCACAATCAGTGGCAACATGAACTTCACATGTTACACCAACTTCTCTGAAAATGAACATTCTCCTGCCCTCTCCTCTGTACAAAGTTGGATGACCTGTGCTGAAATGCTGCCTTCCTAAAATTACACTTACTTCATTTGCTCATTGATATCCTTCAGGAAATTTTATGGTGTAAATTCAACACACTTCATTTTCAGTGACAGATCGAGAGCACAGGAACTCTAACTGGATGAGGAAAACAGGGTCAGGTGAACTCAGGGATGGAGTAGGATAGCTGCATGAGAGAGTATGGTCAGAAATAATGTTGAGGCCAAAAGTAAGTGAAGGAAGTGTGGTTTTAAATGTGCTCCACCCAACAAGAACCATTATTCAGTCATATAATGAAGAAGCTTTCAGTGTAGTATCCCTGAAAGACATGTGGTTATGCTATAATGAGTCTTTGAATTTTCCATCTGGATACCCTTTCTGATCTTTTGGTTTGCTTTGTTTTTTCTATCATTGATGTGTTTGTAACACAGTTGGAAGGTTGCATTTGCACCTAAACCCATTCCAAGTCTGTTCAAATCACCACTGTCAACTTAAAAACAGCCTATGCAGAGGGTACATTCCCATTTAGTAAAACATTAATCATAATCCTTCTATCACATAATATATTGGTTTTAATAAATAACACATCTATTTAAAAGGTATGTATTCAATGTAAAAACCTTTCAGCTGCAGTTTACTGATGATTTACTCAATCCCAAGTTTGTAAACCTAAAATACTCCCATCCCTTTTGTTCTGCAGGTGGACGATGCTGTGCCTTTTCTCCCGATGGGAAAGCCTTGGCTGTAGGCTTGAACGATGGGAGTTTTCTGGTGGTAAATGCTGACACTGTTGAAGACATGGTCTCTTTTCACCACAGAAAGGAAATGATCTCAGATATAAAGTTTTCACGAGGTATAATCAGATGATAAGGTGAAAGGGCAGCATTTAGCTTGGGGTTTCTTTTTCTCCTCTAGACAAAAGACTGTATGTCCAGAAGGTAGACTGGCTTTATGTGTGCTCCATTAAATACTTTACAATTCTGTACGACTGGATGGAGCCCACCCCAAACTGGTGCATTTGTTGCTCTACAACAGTAAAAATGCATAACAATAATAATTATAACACGTACAGCTTTAATAATCTCAGTGTCTCTTCTTTCCAGAATCAGGAAAGTACCTGGCTGTGGCTTCCCATGATAATTTTGTAGATATTTACAATGTGCTTACCAGCAAAAGAGTTGGCATTTGTAAAGGTGCATCGAGCTATATCACACACATTGACTGGGACTCGAGAGGTAAAATGTTTGACCAGAGATACAGATTTAAAATGCCTGTGAAAATGAATATCAGAAAGCTGTTCTCATGCCAGTTATTAACATAAACTGTCAGTACTAATGCAAATGATGTTTCAACATCAAGCACCATATGGGTTCAGTGCAATTACATTTGCTGGTGTCCAATTTGTTTGCTTCTTTGCTGATCATTACATGGCAATCACTGCAATGAAATTAGAGAGCCTTATTGTCACAGCTAATTACATCTAGCAGGATCGATAATGAACTCATACAAATAAGCCTTCTCAGACCTAATATGATTCTGTGTAGAACCACCTGTGTGTCTGAGCCCTGCTTCCCCTGTTGTGCTAGTCCCAAAATGTGGACCAGGCTCACTGACCACAGCAGGAGCTAAACTCTTTGCAGAATCCATTCAGGTCTGAGTGCCATTCTTAAGCTAGAAGTGGAGAGCCATGCTACAGCTGAGCTGGTACCATGTGCCTCCTTACAACCCTCATAACTGACTACTGACAGCTGTAAAGTAATAATAGCAAGTTGTCTGATCCTACCTGTATATCTTAGTAGCCAGTTACTGGATGTGTAACGTGCAGATATGAAGTGTAAGAAAACTGAGAATTCTTTGTGTCCTTTGTGGTGTTTATTGGAAACTAATTGAACTTCTAAATATAAAGGATTAATATTCTAAATTGTATGAACTGCATTATTCAGGTTGGGTAGGAAGGGCATGATGCTCCTATAGCATAATGCACTTTGCTTGTCAGTGACCCCAACAGAATGACTGTGGCTCATGTAACAAAGGGCAAGATGCTCAGTGAAAACAGGGCAGTGCTGGAACTGCACTGGTTCCTATCAGTTGATAATCTAATGTACAATCAGTTGCATACAGGATTATCTTTGTAATGTCACAGTATTTGTATGAGTATAGTAAACTTCATATTGAAGGACAGTTTGGTGTGTAACTGGACTATATGCCAGTTAGGCACTGCAAAACAGACAGGAATTTACAGTGCTTTTAGCTTTTGGCAAAACTGTCTTGCAGAATGATTATGAAATTAAAAGCATACACATTTATAGTTTTTATTTCTCATTATCATGGTGATGAAAACACAAGCAAAATGTGTCTTATCAGAAGAATGTGATTTGCTGCGAGACAGTAATTTTTTAAGTATGATGGATAATATCTAAAATACTACTTCTGCAGTGAATCAGGAGTATAGGGTTATTCTGAGAGTGATTCTAAGCCTCTGCTTTAGCTTACCTCTAGAAATCTCTTCACTCAATCAAAAGGAAGTTCATAATATTCGTAATAATGAATAAGAATATAATAAACTCTTATTTCATACCCAGGAAAGTTATTGCAAGTCAATTCTGGTGCCAAAGAACAGCTATTTTTTGAAGCACCAAGGGGGAAAAGGCATATTATAAGAATTGCTGAGGTACGAATTATGCTTATTGGACCTTTTTATTGTGAAAGTTATTTTTCAGGACTGTTGAGAATTAGCATATTTTGTCTTCAAATGGTATAGCTTTTCCTTTTAAAATACTGCATTACAGTGGCTAGAATTAGATTTAATTATTCTGTATAGCATCTTTCCTAGCCTTTGTAAATGGTAAGACTTGCAAGCTTCTGCTTGTATCTGTAAGTTTATTGTGGTTGTTTAATAGCAGTCATTTTCCACAACCCCTTTCCTGAAAAGTCACCTTTTTTCATAGAACATAGAATGGTTTGGGTTGGAAAGGACCTTAAGATCATCTACTTCCAACCCCCTGCCGTGGTTTTCTGTGTAATGAGTGTGCATCCAGGTTATACCCTCTTTAAAGAGTATGGCCTGGATTTAATGATGTGGATCAGTTGTGACACGTAATTCTTGTACAAAACTGCCCATGTTTAGCAGCTCAGAAAATCTTTATGGAGATTTGTGTCCAAATCATGCTCTGCCTTGGGAAAGTGGGAATATTTAAAGTTTTAAACCTTTTGATGAAGATCTGCAGTTTGCATTAACAAGTGGTAAACAATGAACAGTTTCTAAAAACACTGAAATTAACTTAATATTAAACATAGAAAAATGCAGGTGTGAAACCAATGTGCATTTGATGTATTAAGGCAGTGTCTTCTGGGGATATTTTGATTGCAGATAGAGAAGATCGAGTGGGACACCTGGACGTGTGTTCTTGGCTCTACTTGTGAAGGAATTTGGCCCATGCACAGTGATGTGACTGTTGTGAATGCAGCCAGCCTTACAAAAGATGGAACGCTGTTAGCTACAGGAGATGATTTTGGGTTTGTGAAGCTTTTTTCGTATCCAGTGAAGGTAATAAGTGTGTTTATTCCTGTGATTGGAAACTGCAGAAGCAGAGGAATTAAGGAAGACCCTGTTTGTGGCATGTCAGGCTGCTAATACTTGAATTCTTTGTGCTACAGGGCCAACATGCAAAATTCAAGAAGTACGTGGGTCACAGCGCACAGGTAACCAACGTGCGGTGGTTACACAATGATTCTGTGCTGCTGACTGTAGGTGGTGCTGATACAGCTTTGATGATCTGGACCAGAGAATTATTGGGCATTCAGGAGAGTAAGCTGGTTGATAGTGAAGAATCAGACACAGATGCAGAAGAAGATGGAGGTAAAAAAGGGTTGTATGAAACATGGGTTTAATTTAGTCTTTGTTCCACAAAGACTCACACAGGCGTTTAACTTGAAGTGGGTGAGAAACATTCATGTGCCAAAGCTCAGTGTAGGGAGAGCTTGGTAGGCCTTGTTTCCTTCCTTTTATTGGTGCAGATTTTCTTGTTTTCTACTCTTCCACTGTGAAACAAGGGTAGTTTGCTTTATTTTATGTTTTATTTTCCTAAGGTTATGATAGTGATGTTGCAAGAGAAAAAGCAATTGACTATACCACTAAGATCTATGCAGTAAGCATCCGAGAAATGGAAGGGACAAAACCACATCAGCAGCTGAAGGAAGTTTCAGTAGAAGAGAGGTATGTCATGTCATGCAAAGGCATTCATTTCCAAATGTACATTGCGTTCTTTTGAATCTCTTTTCATTCAACTAAAATTAGTCCTGAAAAATAAGACAGAAATATGCAAATTTTCTGTTATTCACAAGATAATATTTCAAAGGGTGTTCAACGTGTTAATATGATGAAGAATAATATGTGTATATAAGTAAAACACCTGTGAGTGTTGTGTTCTCTGATACTGTCACATAAGCACTTATGTTCTTTCCTAATTAGCAGGTAGAGCTGTGCATGTGTCTGCAGCAGGGCGTTGGGGACAGGGTGAACTTGTAAATGCTTTGTAGTTGAGGCTTTTGGTGATGTTTTCATTGAAAGGTTTTCAGCTGGTTGTAATTGTGTCAGGTTGTTATTGTTAAAGCTGAAATTTCCCATGGCACACATTGGCCTTAGGCTGAATTAGTTTGAAAAAAATAATCTGGAGGGAGAACAGTGTTGGAGAGGACAGTAAAGAAAAGAGGTAAGAGCTGAGCATAGAGAGTGAGGTCCACTGGAACACAGACCTAGGGGAGTGGGTGAGTGAAAACTCTGACGGGGACAGGATTGCTGGTAGAGAAGAATCTATAACCAGTAAAGTACATTCCCCTTCCTAATCTAGACCACTAAATCTACACCAGTGAATCCAGTTGATGCCTCAGCTGTGAATCCATGCAGTCTCTTTTGATTGAATTTCTTTTTAATGGTGGTCATTCTTTTATCATGAGTTTCCTTGCCTTTCCAATGTTGGGCACTGACAAAAGGCTGCTATGGAACTCACTGAAACAATTTCAGCTTGGTTGTTTCCCCTCAGTTTGCCCAGAACACATGACTAGTAACAATACCAGTAGTGCAATGGCATATTGCTCTCCCCAGGGATCCTGCCCTAGTTAGAGAACAGGATACATGTCCTCAGGGAGTACAGCGGGCACAGAAGGAAGCAGTGGTGCACTGCAGGATCCCTGCTGCAGATACTGCAGATCAGAGTGCTGGGTGGCGAAAGAGGCTGGGATGGCAAGAAGAGAGCTCTGGAGCCTGTGGAGAGCTGTCTTCTGCTTCTGTCACAGGGCTCTTGGGGGCTCTTGGTAGTGGCTGGCAAACAGACTGTTCTGCAGCCAGCCTCTCGCCATGTACCACCTCAGTTCCTGCTGTGCCCTCAGAGGAGTACAGCTGAATTTGCAGGAAAACTGCACACTCATGACTGCAAGTGGAGGTCAGTTGAGCAGGGTGTTGAACAAACATGTAACACATGGAACAGATAAAGGTCTCAGGTTCTCTTACCTGACTGTGGAAAACTCATGCCATCTTTTGAGATTTTTGGCTTTAAATCTCCTTGGTGTCCTGATTTTCAAGATGCAAAATGGAGTGAGTAGTAGTTCCTGATTTCATGCAGACCTTTGAAAAATAAATGAGTTTATGTTTTTAAAGCTTTCAAAGAATGGGTAGAAAGTAATAATAATGTCTTCACTCAGTATTTGAATAGGACAACAGATGCTGGGTGTGAAAAATGAGAAGGAAAATGTTGCACCCCCTTCTTTTCATCACAATATTTTAACAAAAACATGCAATAGAAGGATTAGTCATTCCATTTTTCTATAAAAAGGGTATTATCTAGTAAACATGAATGTTTTGAGATTGAGTTAAGAAAAGGAAGCAATTTATTTTATTTTGGGCTAATAGTGCTAAATTGTTATTACACATGAAACAGCAGGTGCCAGTGGTACAGCACCAGATGTTTTACACCAGAAACCCTTGTACCTTCCAGCTGCTTTATTCTGCTTTGATGATGCAAAAGCAACTGTAGAGCCAGTTTAATTGACCAATTAAGCTGGGCTTAAAATTGTTTTGTACCAGTGAATTACCAACCATATGAGCATAAGCACCAGTCTCTTCTGCAGTTTGCCAGCACTATTTTCAGTCCAGGGTAAAAACCACCACAGTCCCTTTGGTTCCCTAGGAAGCTTTCCTTCTTGAAACCTGGCGCTCTGATGCAAGCAAGTGCCCAGCTTCTCTAAGGAGTACCTGTCTGCCATGTACTCTTCCTGACTTCTGAGCCTGTCCACATCCTCAGTCCTACACTGCACAAGCTGATTCAGCCGAGGCAGCAATAAACCTGCTGTGCTGCTGTGGAGGAGGGCGCGCTGCAATGAACAGTTTGCTTTTTTCCAACCCTATAAACAAAACCCGTGGTACTGCAAAGCAGGCTTCCTGCTTGTCACACTAACTGATAATCCCCAAGGCAGCGAAAATGTGCGTTGTGCTATCCAACACCACAAAGCACCACTGAAGCTGGAAGCTCTTCTAGTGCTTCCACACTACCCACTCTGTTTACAGCTGGTGGGCCTATTTAAATGGGTAGACACCTCCTCTGCAGTGAGGTTGCCTTTGAGTAATAATGCCTTCCATAATTATCTCTTCATAATGACTGTACATGAAAATAGCTTCCTGTGACCTATCTGAAAGAATAAGCTATCCCATAACAAGTTCTGAACTTTAACATTCTCCATGTCTTCTTTTCTTCTTAGTACCTCTATGTAATCAACAGTTTTGTACTCATTTTATAATAGCTTAAAAGTAATCCCTTGTAACTGTCCTTTCCACCTCTTCTCCTGAAGAGACGCAGCTATTCGACACATTTTTATATGTTTCAATTGCAGCTACTTCAATATAATCACATCTTTGGCATTTGCAATTTGCTGTTCTGCGAAAATTGTCAACAGATCCCATACTTTTCATATATAGCTTGTTAGGAAAAGATAAATTCACTTCCCTTTCTACATCAGATTAATGTAATTGCCAGAATTTATAGTCAAACAATTAGAAACAAATTTCAGGGTGAAATGCAGGCAAAACTGCAGTTTCTGAGGGTGCTGTGGTGGGATAGGGCCTGAAGCTGTGAAAGGTCCTGGGCTTTGGCTGCAGTAAGGTGAGATTCACGTGTTGGCCACTAGTAGTAAATGACTTCAGTTTTTTGGCCACAGTTGTACCAGTACGTGCACAATTTATGCAGGACCTTGACACTCTGAATTATGAGTGTTTCAGGCTGAAGCTGACTTTTCTTGTAGACAGATGAATTATTAGGCAAGCTTCTTAGCTGTGCCAGATCCCATCTCTTCTGAGAATGCAAAGTAATGCAGCAGCCAGTGAAGGGTCCATCTCACCATGTTCAACTCCCAAACCTTTCCTCTTTGTAATTATGCCATGTGTCTGTATGAAGACCCCAAAGGTTGGGCATTTGATAGGATTTGCACACTGTGAATACTCTGAGTTTCATAACACACAGCCTATGTTTTGAAACCCATGTTGCAAGATGGAAGTTCCTTTAAGGTAGAAGCAGTGAGTTCATCACGAGACCTGAAAAACTGCTTCTCTGCTTCATTGCAGAGTGCAATGAGGATCTGAGACATGTCCCCACGTTATATTTTCATTGTCTCTGAGAAAGGAAAGTGAGTTACTCATAGGTATAGAGAGTTATTCATAGGTATAAAGAGTTATTCATAGGTATAAAGAGTTATTCATAGGTATAGTGAGTTATTCATAGGTATAGTAGGTAGAACACCAGAATTAAAGAAAGGAAGTTTAAATTAAGAAAAGAAAGGAGAGAAAACCAAGCTTCCAGCCTCCAGCTCAAGCGAGAGACAGGAATAGCTGGGGCTGTTGCTCTGAGCTGCTTCTGAGGAGCAGGGACTTTAAGCTCACTATGTTTCTTTCTTTAAATAGTGCTATTCAGAAGGTGAACTGGTGCTGAACAACTCATTTCCCTGCTTAGATAATACAAATATGCTTCAAAGGGACTATGTGACACCTAGGAGACAGTTTTGGCTCAAGATGGCTTGTTTATTTTCCTCTTTATTACAGCTGCATTTCCATCTCTGTAATTTTTGTCCTTGCTGGAACAAGCTTGCAGGGATTTGCTTCTGTGATATTAAGAGTGGTGACTCTGAAAAACTCAAAGCACATTATCTCTCTAGAAGTAACAAATCATTGTACAATTCAGGAGGAGTTTGATCTTGGGAACTGAGATGTGCAAGTATCTGGTTGGGAGCTAATACAAGGAGTGAGGGGAAAGCTTTGCAACAACCACCACCCTTCTGGAAAGGAATCAACAATTTAGGAAGGACTCCCCCAGTTCATACAAAGACTTACTTTGTTGTCAAAAGAGAGGAGCCAGCAATTCTTGTCCCTTCTCTCCCCCATCATGGGAAGAGAGTGGGAGGGCAGATTTCACGTACTAATACTTGATAAATGATAACTGGACTTGGAGGAGCTGTTGTTACTACCCAGCACATGCCCTGTGCTTAGCACAGTGTAGCAAGATGGAAAAAAAACCTGTTTTCCACTGGTTTTCTCCAGATTTCCAGAGTATTGGGCCCCTGAGCAAAATGGGCAGACAAATTTCATTATTATAAAGGGCAAAAAACTATCTATGGCAAACTTGGGGATAATATTAAGGTTTTTCCTTAGAAAACCTTTTGAGACCTCACTTGGAGTACTGCATACAGTTTTGGTGTTCCCAGCATAAGAAAGACATGGACCTGTTGTAGCAAGTCCAGAGGAGGCCATGAGGATGCTCAGGGGCTGGAGAAGCCGCCGGATGGACGGAGGCACG